TGAGCCGAAGGCAGAGGCTTAACCCACTGAGCCACCCAGGCGCCCCGATTCCTTGCATTTTATCTGCTTCGTTCCTGGAAGCATTTGAGTTTGTCGACCCAGCCTGGAGTTTGAGATTGGGGTAAGGGGACAGGAAGTCCCATGGAAGTGATGGGCTCCCCTGCTCCCACCATATGGTGAGATAGATCTATCTAGATCTATATAAGGTATCTAGATCTAGGGGGAGGGGTATTGGGAGAGGGTGGCTGAATTGTGGACATTGGGGAGGGTATGTGCTATGGTGAGTGCTGTGAAGTGTGTAAACCTGGCGATTCACAGACCAGTACCCCTGGGGCTAATTATACATTATATGTTAATAAAAAATAAAAAATTTTAAAAAGATATCTAGATATAGATATCTGTGAATTGAAAGGTTTTGCCTAAACATAGAGCTTCTTCCTGGGGGAAATATATATATATGTATATATATATAATATATATCAAATTTTTATGCTGTTTTTGGGGGTAGGGAAACATTATTAGAATAAACAACAGAAAATCCTGGTGTATTGTAGAAATTCATATGAATTTCATAAGGACTGTTAGGAACCATGAAATGTCAACAGAATTTTGTGCTTGTGCAGGCCCACTGTGATGGGGGCAAAGTTTGAAGAATGCTTTGTAGATTTAATGGTTGAATGAGTTCTCTGTTTTGTAAGGAATAGGCGAGGATGACTCGCTGCTGTATTTGTTCATCAGATGGTGAATGTGAGCTCAGATTGTCTCCTGGTTTTTCAATAATGGGGTATAGGTCAGCCCCAGAGTTTGCTGGAATGGTTTCCTGAGGCGTTATCACCCGACGTTACTACCTGGGCTTGTAGTTAGATGGACCTGGTCAGTGTCAGGTTCGGTCACCTTCCAGCTGTGTGACCTTGGGCACGTCACTTAATCCCTCTGAACTTTAGTTTCTGTTCTGGGGAGAAAGGAGGTGATTCAGCCCTATCCCACAGAGAGGATTAGTCCAGAGCAAGTCCAGAGCAAGCATTCAATGAATGCTCCTAAGAAGGGTAGTAAAATCACATCTCACTTCACAGAGTAAAGTCAAGGGTAGATATTACTGTTCTAAGCTGTGGCTTCCTCAAGGTCATACAGTCTGCAAGGTACAGAACTTGAAGCCATGTCTTCTGACTCTGGGACCAGTGTTGTCACAGGCATAAAAATAATAGCTTAAGTTGTGAGATATTATTTCTCCCGTGTGTACTTTCTAGAACCTCTGAGTCCAGTCCTTAGGTATTACTTTGCCCCACTGTCTCCTTCCTTTAAAAAAAAAAATTGTGGTAGGTGTGGAGTGCCCGGCTGGCTCAGTTGGAAGAGCATGTGACTCTTGATCTTGGGGTCATGAGTTCCAGCCCCACGCTGGGTGTAGAGACTACATAAACAAAAATAAAACCCTTAAAAAAATTAAAAATTGTGGTAAATCATACATCACATAAAATTTATCATTTTAACCATTTTTTAAGTTCCCATTCAAAGGCATGAAGTAAGTTTACAGTGTTTTGCAGCATTAAACAACTCCCTGCTTCTCCCTCCCAGAGCCCTGGCAGCCCCCACTCTGTTTTATGCTTGTATGAACCTGACAGCTTTAGGGAGCTCATGTAAGTGGAATCATGTACTACTTGTACCTGACTCAACAGAATGTCCTCTAGGTTCATCCATATTATAGCAATGTCATGATTTCCATCATTTTTTGAGCTGAATAATATTCTGTCGCGGGGATAGACCTCATATTATCTATCCATCCATCCACTGGGTTGTTTCCACGTGTCCTTTGGCTGTTGGGAGTCATGCTGCTAAGGAATGTGGCCCCCTGTCTTCTTGAGGGATAGGTTGAGTACGACCGTCGTTGGAGCACAGGTTGTGGAGTTTTGGGGTCCCTACCTCTTCCTGGCTGAGTGGTCTTAGACAGTTCCCTCACCCCCTACACCCCAGTAGTCTCTTCTGGAAATGATGGTGGTCCATCTCACAATGTGTTTAAGAGCGTTGGATGAGAGAGTGGATATGGCGTATTTATTACGGTACCCAGCCCAGAGCTAACACTCAATATATCCTACCCTTATACATTCGTTCAACAAAATGCATGGTGCCTGCTTCCTGATGGTTCCATTTCCCCCCACACCTAGCCTGTCCCACCCATCCCTAGTGGCAGACCAAGTGGGAATCACCCACTTGGGTCCATGTACTAATGGGTACAATGTCTGGGGTCCATTTTTTTTTTTTAAGATTTTATTTATTTATTTGACAGAGAGAGATGCAGTGAGAGAGGGAACATAAGCAGGGGGAGTGGGAGAGGGAGAAGCAGGCTTCCTGCAGAGCAGGGAGCCTGACATGGGGCTCGATCCCAGGACCCTGGGATCATGACCTGAACTAAAGGCAGATGCCTAACGACTAAGCCACCCAGGCACCCCTCTGGGGTCCATTTAATTCAAAACCAAAACTGCTAAAAAAAAAAAAAATTGGTCTACTTTTTATCATCATTGGGAAATGACAGTTCTAAACAATGTCAGTGATGAAACACTCCTCCTCCCCCTGCGCATGGATCGTTCCCCCTGCCCCTACCCCCAACCTTTGATAGCCTCTTTCATGCCCCATGTGTAGCCCACAACTGAAGCTGAATCATGCTTGTGTTCTTGGTTCGTTTCTGTCATATTTCTTGTTAAGTATGCGGCATGCACGTTAGGAAAATTGGCAGCCTACTAATCCCGTTCTTTATGGTGGCTGTTACTGCTGTCTGATTGGCATTTGAGGGGGCGCCTGGGTGGCTCAGTCGGTTGAACATCTAACTCTTGATCTCAGCTTGGTTCTTGATCTTGAGATCATGAGTTCAATCCCCACGTTGAGCTCCACGCTGGGTGTGGAACCTACTTAAAAAAAAATTGCTTTTTATGATAGGATTTTATCTCTCAGAATGGTGTTAGATTGACAGGAAAATTCTGCAGATAATACACAGTTTCCACTCCCCCACCCCCCACAGTCTCCCCTAGGATTAACATGGTATATTAGAGGAGCACATTGGTTACAATTAATCCAACATTGATACATTATTGCTAACTAAAATCTAGAGTTTATTCACATTTCCTTAGTTTTTAACTGAGTGTGTATTTGGGGATCCCACCCAAGAGAGCACTAGCACTACCTCTGAATTTGTCATGTCTCCTTAGGCTCCTCTTGGCTGTGATGGTTTCTCAGACTTTTTTTGTTTTTTTGTTTTATTGACCTTGACGGATTTGAGGAGTACTGGTCAGGGATTTTGTAGAAAGTCCCTCTTTGGGAATTTGTGGCTTTACTTAATTTATTTTTAAAGTTATTTACTGGAGGCTTACTGTAGGTTAGTCATTGTGCGAAGCTTGGGATATAGCAGTGAAATGAAGACATCTATAAACAGCATTTATAAATCAGTGACATTGATGCTAGACTTGGAGAGAGCTGTGTAGGCTGAGGATTGAACCCAGATAGTGCCAAGTTTGACCCTTGATCACCGTCCTGTTTGCCACCTCCCATGGGCAGAGGAGAGTTCTATAGGTGGATCCAGCGTAGTAAGCACATCTCGAAATATCTGGCAACTGTGGAATGATGAGAAAGCTAAGACAATAGAACAAAATAGAAGTGAGTTGCTTTCATTTCCGGTGAATAGATGAGGGAGAGTGAGTTTAAGTAATCTTTACCTGTATTTCTCTTTTGATCTCTTCTGCTCCTCCTGGTAAGTTCTACTATGCAGCTTTCTCTTTAAATGTCCCTGTAGGAATGTTTTTGTACAATGCAGACACCAATGGTCAAGTGCAGAATAGGCCAGTGGCAGATCTGTCTGTTCCTAAATGTTCTTTCATGGCATGTTGTGGGTGCATCCAAAAAAACTGCGTGTGAAGTGGTCATGGGGTGGGAAGTCTGGTGCTGGAGAGTGGGGTTCAGGGGCTCTGCCCTCCTGGTCTGGAGCAGCACCCAAGCCCTTTGAGTCTTTCTGAGCCTTGACTGCCTCACCTCTAACTTAGGGGTAATTCGTTGGAGTAGAATCTTACACCTGGATGAGGTTCTAAGGCCAAAATCTGGTGGAGTCAGCATTACCCTTGGAAAGCCTTCGGTCCACCCACAGAGTTATGAACACCGTACCCCACGTGGGAGACCCCTGCACAGCCTGGGAGTATGTCTGTCACAGCCCACTTTTCTGCCAGCATTTGGTCAGATGGCTCCATCCTTGGTCACACCAGATTAAGGATCTACTTGTGTTTGTGGCCCATGTTGGAATAAACGCACCAGGATTAGAATACACATGGCTTGCTGGCTGATGGAAGAAAAGAGGTCTCACTGGTGTCAAAACCTCATGGTTGGCTTTGTTTTTCGTTGCCCTGCATATGTATTTGAGTTTATGTACATTAGAGCCTCTCAATGCCCTGGCCAGTCCAGTCCCAGGGCTGTTGGTAGAGACTGAATGAGATCGTGGGTGTGAGGACCCATGGTGCTCTAGACAAATGTTTGAATTTGACAGATGTTTAAATATGATCAGTGAGGGGCGCCTGGGTGGCTCAGTGGGTTAAGCCGCTGCCTTCGGCTCAGGTCATGATCTCAGGGTCCTGGGATCGAGTCCCGCATCGGGCTCTCTGCTCGGCGGGGAGCCTGCTTCCCTCTCTCTCTCTCTCTCTGCCTGCCTCTCCGTCTACTTGTGATCTCTCTCTCTGTCAAATAAATAAATAAAATCTTTAAAAAAAATAAAAAAAAATAAATATGATCAGTGAGCGATACAGTCATGGGAGTCATAGGGAGGTGCGTGATTTGCTATTTAAACATTTTGGGGGGAATGCGGGATACTGCATGTCTTCTGGCCTCTGAGGAACCCCGGTGACTTGGTTTCTACTGTGTGTGAGGGTGGTTGACTCAGTAGAGGGCTTTTTTGGGTTGGTACAGTCTTCTCCCCCTTCAGGAACCTCCCCTCTACTCTGGGCTAATATGGCTCCTTTGTTTGGCCACAGAATGTCCTGAAGGAGCACGCGGATGACGACCCCAGTCTCGCCATCACTGGGGTCCCTGTAGTCACTTGGCCAAAGAAGACACCAAAGGTAAGACGCAGATTGCCTGCAGCTGGGAGACCACTCCTACTGCCCTTCGCATCTCCTATAAGATGACTGTCAGCAGCTTTTCAGTGGGGACTCCAGGCAGAGGGCATCCCAATGAAGATGAATGGTTTTGGTGATTTGTCTATTGCAAGTTTTTGTTTTTTGAAAGCAACGATTTTCCCTAAGCTGTGGAAACTGCAGACAGTGCCCCCTGGTGGTCATTCAGAAAACTGTAGGGGAGCGATGCCTCCTCACCTTTCCCTATCTTAGGTGTGAGTTCTTCTCTTCTTCCTTCTCTCCTTTCTTTTTTTTCTCCTTCTCTTTTTCCTCCAGGTGCTTCAGGGGCTGTTTCCTCTCTTTTGAAAGTAACTTTTTTCTCTTTTATTTTTCTTTCCTCTTTTAATTTTCTCCATTAATTTTGATTGAGCCTGGAAAAGTCTAATCAAATAGGAAAGGACAAAGACCCTAGGGAGAATGATAGTAATGTCACTGAGGACTTACCAGAAGCAAGTTGCTTTCCGTCGTCATCTGCATCCCTTATCTTCTTTAGACTCCAGCAACCCTGTGGGACAGACACTCGGGACTCTCATTTTGCAGATGAGGAAACAGAGGTTTACAAAGGTCAAGTCACTTGTGAGGGCACTTGGCAGAGCCGAGGGTGGGATGATCAGTCTGCGTGACAGCAGAGACCAAACTGTTAACCAGTGTCCATCTCAAAGTCCGGAAAAAAACAGTAAGATTTTGGTGTGTCTTCTTCCAAAGTCTGTGCTAGGGTGGGACATGTATGTATCAACCTGTCTGTCCACACTCAGACTTACCACTTTCTTGAGCAAGTCCTAGAAACGTCCTGAACCTTGCTTTCCTCATCTGTAAAAAGGGGTTATGCCAGCAACTCCTTCAAATGGTTGTTGGGACGACTAGTTGAGATAGTGCATTATTGAATTTGTTTCTGGTTAATTGTAAAGAACAAAAAACAGAGCAATGCATGCAAGTTCTTAGGACAAGGACTGACCAGTAGTTAGTGCTCTTCAAACATTAGTTGTGACTTAAGCGGCCTCTCCACTGATGGGTATTTTTTCTGATTTTTTTTTTCCTGTTATAAGAGACATATAGAGGAACTTTCTAGATCTGTGCTGTCTAAAATGGTAGTTGCTGGTTATATGGCTGTTGAGAACTTGAAATATGGCAAGCCCAAACGGAGATGGGCTCTAAGTGTAAAATACACAACAGATTTCAAAGACTTAAGTGCAAAGAAGAACGCTGTAAAATTACTCATTCATTTATTTTTTTATGTTGATTGCTTGTTGAAATTAGGGTTGCCAGATTTTAAAAAGAATGCCCATTTAACTGAATATCAGGTAAACAACGGGTAAAACTTTTAAGTATAAGTATAGCCCACATATTTCATGGATATACCTATGCTGGAAAAGAGTATTCATTGTTCATCTGAAATTTAACTGGATGTCCTGTATTTTTTTCTTTTTAATGTGATGTTAGTCACCATACAGTATATCATTAGTTGTTTATGTAGTGTTCCAAGATTCATTGTTTGGATGTCCTGTATTTTTATTTGCTACATCTGGCAACTCTAGTGGAAATTATAATATTTTGGATATATTGGTTAGACAAAATGGGTTTGTTTTTTTTTTAAACATTTTATTTATTTATTTGAGAGAGAGAGAGAGAAAGACAGTGAGAGAGAGCATGAGCGAAGAGAAGGTCAGAGAGAGAAGCAGACTCCCCGTGGAGCCGGGAGCCCGATGCGGGACTCGATCCCGGAACTCCAGGATCATGACCTGAGCCGAAGGCAGTCGCCCAACCAACTGAGCCACCCAGGTGCCCGACAAAATGGGTTTTTAATATTAATTTCATCTTTTTCTTTTTGCCTCTTTAAATGTGGCTACAAAAAAGTGTAAAAGTACATGCATGACTTTATATTTCTGTTGGGCAGTGATGTTCTAGGTTATTCTTTCCACCTTTGATTATCTTCTTAGGGTATATTCCTAAATGTGGAACTGCTGGGGAAATGGGTCCCTGTTCCTTGCAGGTAAAATCTAATTCTCTTTGAAGCTTAGTAGGAATTTAGGTGATGGGAGAAGTGAAAAAGGATTCGCCCTCCTAGCTCCTGCCTTTGGTTTCCGGATCCGTGGAAGTGTATGGGGTTTTAATGTTCACTTTCCCCTCCTCGGGCACTAAATGCATTTGGCATTTCTGAGCCCACAAACTATGCTTGCAGACCTAGCACCTTGCAACAACGCCTCGAGGCCCCACAGCTGCCCTGAACCCAAAGAGGAAACCGTGGCTTTGCCTCACTGCCTGCTTCCCTCCCAGCTGAGGAATAGCTCCGGGGGAGGGATTAGGGTGTGCAGAACATGGGCTTTTCAAAAAACAAACTTGCCAGTACCCTGTGTAATCCCAAAATCCATGGATGGGTTCAAATGAGCTTCTCAGGGGGAAGTCACTTCAGGACTGCTAAGGTGTCCTGTCCTCCGTGGTGGAGACCCTCCAGTTTACTCCTGAGAGGCTGATGGGCATTTTAAAAAACAAAAAAGACCACACCTCTGCTCCTTTCCTCTAAAGGGCTAGAAGCAGGAAGAGGCTCCCAGGGGGGAGTAGCCCTTACCTAAGACTTTCTTGGAGGATCAGTGTGTGTCTATACACGCACTTGTGTCTACACACGAGGTCATGTGGCTGGTATCAAATCTGGAGACTGGGGAGAGACTGGAGCTCTTAGGCTAGTGAAGGGTGAAGAGAGAGCATTTGCTATTTGACAGTACTTTGGGGGGTACCACTGTGGGTTTTTTTGAAACCTTATAATGAAACAAACATAACGTGCTTACCGTACAGTTCTCCCACTTAAAGTGTACAACTCACTTTTTGGTAAATCCATTATATTCAGAGAGAGACGCAACTATCCCACAATCTAATTTTAGAACATTTTCCTACCCTCTGAAAGAGATCTCATCAGCTGGTTGTCCCCCAACCTCCACCCTCAAATCTTCCCCTCCCCCAGGCCCTGGTAACCACTAATCTCTCCATCTCTATGGCTTTGCAAGCTCTGGACGTTTCATGTAAATGGAATTATCCGATATGTGACCTTTAGTGATTGGCTTCTTGCACTTAGTATAATATTTTTAAGCTTCACCCACATTGTCACTTCTGTCAGGACTTCCTTCCTTTTTATGGCTGAATAGTATTCCATTGTGCTTGTCTACCGTGCTTGGTTTATCCATTCACAGGTTACAGGACATTTGGGCTGTTCCCACCATTTGGCTGTCATGGGTAATGTTGCTGTGAACATGCGTGCACACGTTTTTACATGGTCACAGGTTTTCATGTCTCTTGAGCAGGCGTCTAGGGGTGGCACCGACTGATCCCACAGTAACGCTGTATTTAACTGTGAGGAACCGCCAGACTGTTTTCCAGAGCGGCTGCACCCTTTTCCATTCCCACCAGCAACGTGCAAGCCTTTCAGTTTACCCACAGCTTCGCCAACGCGTATTATCCGTCTTTTTGTTGAGAGCCCTTTTTCTTCTCAATTTACTTTATGATTTCTCGAACTCACTGGAAGCTTCTCGTAGGAGTTTGCAAGGGCTGCCCTCACAGAGGGCTGCACTCTGTATGCGTGGCTCAGAGGGCAGAAGTTCATTTTCTCACAGTTCTGGAGGCCAGAAGTCTGAAAACAAGATGTCAGTTGGCAGGATATATGTCTTCTGGGTACATCTCCTGGACTTGTCGATAGCTCTTGTCTCTGTATTGTCACATGGTCTGACCTCCTGGGCGTCTGTGTCCTAATCTCTCAGAAGACACCAGTCCCGCTGAATCAGGACCCACCCTAGCTTTAACTCCGTTACTTCTGGAAAGACTTTATCTCCAGGTGCGCACATTCTGAGGTCCTGGGGAGGGTCAGGGCTTCCACGTAAGAATTTGGTGGTGGTCCGGGCGGGAGGAGGTGGACGGTGGGGAACACCATTCAGCTCTTAGCATTTATCATACATGATTTCAGAGCCACAAAATGATGTCAGTAATATAATAACGAATACCGTGGCCCCGCACTCAGCTCTAGAAATAAACGACCGCCAGTACCGTCCAAACCCGACTGGGCATTCCACCTGGATGTATGCACCCGTCTTTATTTATTTATTTATTTTAAAGATTTTATTTATTTGACAGACAGAGATCACAAGTAGCCAGAGAGGCAGGCAGAGAGAGGAGGAAGCAGGCTCCCCACCGAGCAGAGAGCCCAATGCGGGGCTCAATCCCAGGACCCCGGGGATCATGACCTGAGCCGAAGGCAGAGGCTTTAACCCACTGAGCCACCCAGGCGCCCCTGCACCCATCTTCAGATGCCTTCTTTCCATTGTATTTGATCCTCCCGGCGAGGCTGGGAGGCACAGATAGTGTTACCTCCGTGGGTGCGGCTGAGAGGGGGGACCCATAGAGGGACGCTGGTACGCCCTGGGCCCTGCAGCTTGTGAATCTGAGGTGTTGGTCCCCAGATCTGGGGAACTCAGGGAAATGTGGCAGAGGGGAGGGGGAGGGGAGCCGCGTGGCTCTAGGTCTGCGTTTCCCGGCTGGTGGGGTTAAAAAGTTAACAGGAAAAGGAGAAGTGAGTGAACGACTGACTGCCTGGGCCGCCGGGGTCTCGCCGTTCCCAGGTCTGCAGTCGACCGGCTCCCAATTTGATGCAGGTTGGGTTGAAAGATCAAGGGTGCCCGTTGAGGCTGTCAGGATGCGAGGTAGGGAGCGGTATTGGGTCTGGGTCAGGTTACTTAACAAGTAATTAATGCTAAATGATGATTAGCAAGAAATGCTTTGATCTCCCACCTTGCCTCCCGGAGAACAAAGTCCTTTTCTGGAACTGATTAGGTGCTGGGAGGTCATTTCTGATGCCGTGTCTCTCAAAGATGCTACTGAACTGCCGTCCGTCGTCATTCACCCGATCGGCTGTTTCCACCAGCGGTGATGGATTTGTTTTGATCCATCTACACTTCTTTTATGAC